AAGTTGTATATTAGCAGGTCATATAAACTGCCAAACGGTTAAAGCGAGTTTTCCAGAATTATACTTCCGATTAAAAATTTCATAATGTTAGACATTTTCAACAAAGCCGCCTGAGGAAACAGTTTGGGCTCTAAACTGAGATTTCAACAAACAGGCACTTTTAGTGAAGAAGACCACGAAGCGTACCGCTGGTCAACAGAAATTGTTTCCCATAAAACCATAGTGTATGCGATACTTGAACATCGTCATGGGTTTGCACGAAATGGGTCTCAAGCCAGATATTTGATGCACGTCGTCACGCCATGTATGCTTCCTCATAGTTTTTCTTCTCAGGCTGTTAATTGTCATGAAGTAGAAGTGTACCTTTCCAGTGGACATAGGAGAATGCTATATGTTATTTTGTCGTGTGACATCAACCAATGTCCATCTTTATCTCTGGTATGGGAAAATTCCCTAGTGTGTGGAAAATTCCTTGCCCGATATGCTTGACGTATACGACAAAAACTGTCATCCTGCAAAGTCGACCCGGTAGGTCCCTACTAGATGGAGTCTTTTAGTTTTAGCAACTTGTGACCTTTAATTGCTGATCGATGAGTAGTTCGATTGAAAAGATTACTTGAATCCAACATCGACATGTAGTGTACAGAATGTGGAAATAGAATGAGGCAAGACTTGAAAGAACATCGACACTGGAAAAATTCATTCAAGAATAGCGGCCCAAGATAATACTAATTACGAAGAAGAAACATTGGAATAGCGTCAGATGAATTCAGAGATGGGGCACCGCTGAGTATATGAAAGCAATAGAAAATTCTGAATTGTATACGGGAAAATACTAATTGCTGTGCTGAACTGGAAACTGGTAATTAGAAAAGATACGCGAACGAAGGAGATAGCGGTGACATTTGAACGAAGAGTCAATGATGAGTGAAATTGCTGGGTAATTTGCTGCTAACATTTGTGATTTTCTACGATATGTGGAACTGCTGCGATATGCAGGTTGCGTTGAAAACTGTGATGAAGTTTTAGCCGTTTTTCTCACCCAAGAGCATAGTCTGGCTTTTATTATTCCATAGGAATTACATCCTCTTTAACAGGCATCATTTTATTTAAATGAAACGGATCGTTCGATTTTAATGTTTCTCTTGGAAGTTTTCTGATGACTTGAATCTGAATTTGTATAGGAGAAATTACCTACGGAATGTGATAAAATTCTCAAAATAATCAATTATCGTCTTTGTCGTATTGATTCGTTTTCATTATTGTAATAATCAAAATTTCAAGTTAAGGTTTACCCGCATCACCTATAAACTATGGATTTTAACTGCTGTGTGAAATACTAGAATTTTGCACTGTTACATAAAATTTTGCTTTCAGAAAAATTAAATCATTAATATTGATATTGTTTACCTGAATCTCTGTGATTGACCAACGATCCAAACCACAAATAAACATTGTAATACGGCTCCAAAACATGATTAGTACACTTTACAAAACGACAAGGATAATTACACGTTATCGTTTTCGATAGGATCATCAAACTGACCAGTTTCCATCGCGTAACTATCCTCTCCTCCGTTGAGCGTGTTTTGTGGTACGTCGACTTGTGGAGCTGGTGCCCCGCCTACTAAAGCGGAAAACATTCAAAAAATTCGCGTACCATCAGAAGGAAATTATTTAACTACCTCCGCGCATTTGACGATCGACGATGACTTGACCATCTTCGTCAAACAGCACTTCATCCACTGACTGTGACAGAAACTCATCCTCGACCAACTCTTCCTCCTCCTCGTCCTCGTCTAAAAATACGCGATTCAAAAGAGCTGAAATGTCTAACACTTTTACGAACCCGAGAAGGAATCTGAATCGTTCGGATGCAATGCCTGGAATTCCGATAGAGTCAAAAACAGCGAATCTACTAAAGCAGATTTACGCAGCAGCTAAGAAATTAAAGAATTCGAGACATGATGCTTCTTACGACTGTTTTTGTCTCTGGGTACAAAGCGGATTTCCGTGAATGTCGTTTCTTCCTCTTCTGGAACGGCATCTGCTTCTATATCTGGTCCTGGAAGTACAGGAAGATTCTGAACATCACCTGTACCATTCTGAGAGGGCAGAGCCCTCGTTTCCAGAGCTATAAGGAAAGCACGTAGAGAACGCCTTTAGTATTTTTAGTGAAAATCGAGCACCATGCAATCAACCAGATTTCAGAGACAGAGTTCAAATGTAGGGCTGTAATTAACTCATTTTTAGAGAACAGACTTTTCAATCGTGTGGGTCGCGGTAAGAATCATTTAAAACATGAGAAATGCTAATACATGTAATATTCCATTACTGAAACTGCCATTTTATATTTTTCCACGTGGCGATCTTTGTCATCGAGTGACAGCATCTTTCAGAATTGAACAATGGCATGACGTAAAATGAAGAAGTGATAAAGTATCAGCTGTGACTACACCAAGGCACCTTTACTATCTACTCTTACAGGGCTACGCGGATATAACTGCAAACTGGTAGCAGCAACTTCTTGTAGAAAAACTCAAAACACACAAGAGCGGTTCGAAAGCTCGAACCTTGAAGCCAGGATAACCATGTGAACTGTCAGAAACATTCACGACAGAAACACGTAAATCTGAATACGTTGCAAATATTTAAAATAAATCATATATGGAAATCCACTTCAGTGCACAGGTAGAAAATCATACGTATTTTCAGATTTCTACGTTTACATTATCCAAATATATTCAAAAATTCTTTATGTTATATGTGAGTTTAGACTAAGCACACTTGGATGGAATTTCGAACGCAACTGTAAAAAGCTGCACATATATCAGTCAGTCAGTTTCGATGACCGCCTATTCCTTCGGGTCGAGGAGGTAACAGCGCCATACAATATCTACAACGTTCCATACGCTATGCTAATATCCGAGTTTAGCAGAAGAAAACCTGAGTGTGGAGCATAGTTCATCGAAACACTTGCCCATGTAATTCCTGGCAGTCCTCTAGCTCTACAGAAACAGCACAGTATTTTTGCAGACTAATTTTAATATGCAGTGATTCATTTCAAAAATCAAAAAAACCTTCATGAACGTGAGTTGGGTACTGCGCCTACTTTTGTCAGAAATGCAACGTCGAAAGACCTGGGATCAAATGTTAATCCGATTACTCGCCTTTCATTCATTTGAGCCAACTAAACGATCGCTATGTAGAAAAGAAGCAGACGACTATAGGCAGTAGTGGCCATTTATTTGTAGATGCCTTCAGAAAAGTATGACGGTTGAGCTGAATGCGTCCTGGGGGAAATGTGCGACGCACCAATTGCTTCTTGAAAGAATGATTTTTAAAACTACCAAAATGCATGCACACCTGTATCCTAATGGCCCCCTTTAGTTGTCTTTTTTCTGAAGTACACTCAGATGATACACTTGACCAACATTTTCGTTCAAATCTCGAAGACCGCCAAACGAAATCGTTAGTAGCTGCATATGCAGGTAT